ATAATATCGAATGTGAGAAAAAAATATTATATTCATATATGTATTGTGACACCACTATTATGAATTTCTGGCTCCATCGCTGAGCACGAACATAACACTTGTTGTTATAATCAATTATAACTCATTTAATTTTTCATTATAGTGCAAATTGAAACTTTTTATTTCTTCCCCATTTTCTTAATTTTTTTCTCCTATATTTTTTCATCATCACTTAATTTTAGTTACTTTCTAATAAATTTGGACTCACATTAATCATACAAATACAATAGTCAGTAAAAAGGGCAAAAAGTAGTGTATAAAGAAAAAAGAATGGAGAAAAGAAAGGAAAAAAGAAAATATAAAATAGGAAATTTTATCTATAAAATTTATTGTCTCTGCTATGCATTCTTAAGGGGGTTTTAAGATGCCCATCGTGAGTGATCCGGAGGGTTGAGAGTTTCAAATATGGCTTCAAAAGTTGGGGTTCAATTCTAAAAGGGGTTTTAGATATTTTGAAATTTCTTTTAACTTTTTTTTTTAATTTTTGGGGTTTTTTGGGTTGTTTGGGGGGGGGGGGGGGGGGGTTGGATTTGAATAATCGATCGAACGTTAAATGGCCTTTTTATGATAACATTCTACTTAAGGGTGTTATCTGATAATTATTCAAAGTTTTTTTTTTTGTTGGGGGGGGGGGGGGTTTCTACATATTTTAAGTGGATACTCTAAAATGGGCTTGACCTTTAACCTTTTCTTCTAAGAAACTCCTATCTTTTTTTTCCTTGACAAACAAACTTCTAACTTTTATTTCCCTATTCTCAATTGGCTCTTATTCATTATCTTCAGCTTGGAGAGGGGTAAATTTATCACAAAAAGATTAAATGCCTATCCTAAACTTTTAACACAAAGCATATTTATTTCAGAGTCTAATTACTTAGGTGCTGTTTGACAAGGGGTTAAGAGAGAAGCGTTAATGGTTAATTTAGTTAACCCTTCAAAAGATTAAATGCGTATCCTAAACTTTTAACACAAAGCATATTTATTTCAGAGTCTAATTACTTAGGTGCTGTTTGACAAGGGGTTAAGAGAGAAGTGTTAATGATTAATTTAGTTAACCCTTCCTGAGGGGTTAAAAATAATTTCATTGTGTTTAGATGTGATAGTTTGCATGAAAGGGTAATCATTTTGTGTTCTTTACTAGTAAAGAAGGATTAAGAAGGTTCTCCCTCTAACTTTTTAAACACCAAAATTAGGCCTGAAAGTAGTAAAGTTAATAGTGATTATTTCATTAAAATTAATTCAACCAAAAATTTGTATTCTTCTGAGCTATAAAAATATTCCCACTTTTGTACAAAGAAGCTCGATAAAAATCAAGTTAAATTAAAAAAAAATTAAATAACATACATAATAATAAAAATTTATAATGTAAATTTAAAAGGGATCTACACTATATAAAGATTTTAGTTTTGCTAAAATTTAAATAACTAGTTGACATGGTAAATTTCAAAGTACATCCAAAATTCAGCCTCAAAATTATTAAATTAGGTTAGTTGCGCTCGGAACCTAAATTTGGGTCCTGGATTTTAAAATGCAGGGGGTTATTCATTGGTATAATTTGGGGTGTAATGAGATAATTTGTGGAACATCAGTGTTTGGTGTTATTGGTTGGAATAATCGGATCTGGATTCAAGTTTTGAGGGTAATTGGGGACAAATACCCCCACTTACCCCTAAATTACACCACCTATATAACCATTCCTCAGCCCTCAATCTCATTTTTACCCTATTTCTTCTCCTGGAACAAAAGAGGGGAGCAAATTACCCCTCAGATCTCGATCTCGATTCAGCCAAATTTGGCGTCGTCCATCTCGTGGTCGTGTCACCCGCTCCGGCCATGTCGTTCCTCTGCTCGAGAGCCCGCCCGCCGCCGTCGTCTTACCTCGGCTGGACACCCGCCCCGCGGCGTCGTCTTCCTCAAAGCTCGAGAGCCCGCCCGCCGTCGCCGTTCCACGAGGTCGATCGTGCCGTCGCCGCCATATCCTCCGCGCGCGCTCCTTCTACGGCACCGCCTCGGACCACCACCACACAATCCCAACCCAAGGTACAATCTCGCGTCTCAACTCCCTCTTCTGCATTCCAGTTCACTGTTTGCATAATGCCATCATCCCATTTTCATTATTGCAAGCCAGAATTCTTGCCACAATCCAAATATCTGAAGCTTGCAACATGTCCATTCCATGCCTAGTAACGTGTGTATCTGGCGCTTGATATCTGTAAATTTTCACAACACTAAGGCCAGGTCATGTACATCCAAAAGAATATTGGAAAAATCAAAGATAAATGAAAATTTTCAACAACACTGACCTGTGGGCATAATTGCTTTTGTGTTATAGCTCAATGCCAAGAACTGCCCTCCGCGAATGTAAAATTAGCCGTCATCTCGTGCTTGGGGGGGGACGGGTCAATATATCCTTTTCATGCGCCAGCTACATCACCACCGTAATTCCGAGGTACGAAATCTGCGGCGCAGAAAGATTGACGTATAGCTGTAACTTGAGCTAGACAATGGCAAACCAATGTGGGAGGGATTGGGACAAACGTAGCCCAAGGAAGGTCAGAGCCAAAGTGATATGCGCGTATAAGTATTAAAATATACGAATTTCTTTAATTAAAGATTTAACATGTAGGCCCGCACCTGAGACTCTTTTAATTATGTAATAAGAGAAGACAACGGCATATGATTTGATCTCTATGCGTAGTTTTAAAAATGAGTGACTATGGCGGTATTTAAGCTATGTAAACGAATATGACTCATAATAGAAAATGGCGAAATGTATTGCCCGCATTAAAATTTGTATGATGATTCGAGCATTAATAGTAAGCATCATAAAACCATCTGAATGAGTATATGAACATATTTATTGTGAGTGCGAGCTTAATATATTAAGAGCTAGTTATGTATAATTATTTTTTATATTAAAATGAATAGTAAGATTATCAAAGTGAAATCTTTTAGGTGATTGATTCTTGCGGGCTGAGTCCATACATGTAATTAAGCTCTGATGGTTAAGCCTATTACGTTGTTGGATGTCAATAATTTCAGTTAACAACATGGCAGATATTATTTGATAGTCTATACTGCGAATGCGATAGACTATCAATATAAAAAACGAAGGTCGTCATACTAAAGGTTATCTCTGTCACCACGTGCAAGCATCAACATAATCCCAATAGTACGCCCCGATTTTAACGACGCTCTCCCGCTTCCTCGCGACTTGGCATAATCTCCCACATCCCAAAATTTAGGTTGGTAGTAAGATTAAGACTGTAGAAACAAGAAATATATAACTAAAATGATTCGACAATCTTATGTGGCAGCTCGCATAGACGATTGATTATGACTGCTCACACGCGCATCCGCCTATTGAACAGCGCGCGATTTTCATAAACAACAGTTTAGGCATCTTGTTCATCTCTCATGGATTCAATCCAATGTCAAATAGACCCCGACTACGCAATCGTTTTTCATTGTGGTTAATTCGTTTGCGAAGTCCCGACTCACTCTCCTGTTCTCTCTCGATTGTCTGCACGAGATAAGTGCCCCTGCCACCATTTAGCATACACAACGTGGATACCAGTAAAGAGTCTTAGGATATGCTCTCATGGGTTTAATGTCAGTCGAATACCAAGGAAACTCAGAAAATTTAAGATCTAGTGTTTAGGAAGGCTAGGTCGTGAATTACTTCGCGTCTTAAAAACCTATATCAAAAGCATGTAAAAAGTACTCTGCTGAGGATTGTACAATTGTACATACAAGACTACAAAGGTGGACCTATGTTCTGACATACCTCTTTTGATGGTGGAGTTTTATAAATGTGATCCGTACTTTGTAATGATATATTACTAACCATACTATATGAAATTTTTGGTTATTACGGTCATCCTGCCTACGAATTGCAACTCTACTAGGCTTGGTGGTTATTGATGGATTCTTTAACGCTAATTCGAGCAAGGCGCACAGCTTCTCTCATCTATAAATGGCCAAGAGATCCATTATATCTGGGTATCTGTGTGTTTCTTTTTTTTGGCTTATATATTAGAGTTTTTTTCTATCTGCCATTTTAGTGGTTGGTGTTCTAGTATTAACATATATTGGTTCGCAGGGTGAAGGCAAAAAACCCATTTTTATTTGCAGGCTTGTGCTAGGACAACTGTGGCTATGTCGAGGATTAGATACGTGTTCAAATAAAAGAAAGAAATTATTGGTTGTAAATAAGAAATGGGTATATATTTAGATGTGTTACTGTGTAGGGAGCTTTGATTAGGCTTTACGCTCCAGCTAAGAGTCTCAACATTAATTAAAGGGAAGCTCTGTGGTTGCGGTATACCGTGACTTTTATGTTTTGTCGATATACACTTTTGTAACAATCTACGAGGTAGATTTGTGTTAAGTATTATTGCTAATTCAATTCGATCTCGTATCATATCTATTAAGGCGATTCCGATTTTTTCAGTCTTTGTTTGTAGAAGATTCAGAAGGTAATTCATAACAATAATATATTGATGCGTAGTTTGATCCAAGCCGACTAACGACAATATGCAGCATACCAGAGCTTTTGGACATCAGGTATACATTATAGGTTCTAAAGGGTTGTAGTACCACCCATGTTGAAAAAGGAGTAACCGGCGGGAGGAGTGATTCCCGGTCATTGAGAAAGACATACAATTTAGAGTCTGAATTAAAATGGTCATGCCTGTTTTAAAACTCAGCACAAGCAAACAACAAAGACAGATAGATGCAGAATCTATAATATTAGTTAATGATTAGACTAGATTTTAGGTATTATTCCTGATATTCTGTTGTTTATGTTACGCATATCGATGTGTAACTATTTTCTATAATTGATCCGGCCACCGTCTGATTCATACTCTTGACGTTCCCGCTATCCGCTCCCCACTCTCGAGGAATTTCCATATAACTGTATACACA